TTTTTTTTTTTTTGGGTCTGAGTTCGGCCCGAACGGCCGAACGCATCCCCAAGAGGTCCCATACGTTCAGGCGTTCGGCCCGTCCCGAACACCGGTTACCTTGTATACATCTATATATTGTTACATATCTATGAACTGAAAGAGCACACTTCGCGAAAGAAACGGTATTAAAAAAAAAAAACAAGACCGACATATCCATATCTGGGTAGCACGGCGTACGTGTACGCGGGTTGCGCGTACATGCGTACACGTATTCCTGTACGCGACACGTACGCGCGTACACGTACTCCCGTACGTGGGAATACGTAAAAAAAAAAAAAAAAAAAAAAAAAAAAGAACATCGAAAAAATCTGAAAAAAAAGTATGTTATGCAAAATGATATTTCGAACAACTTTTGAATGAGACTCATCGCGAAATTCTGTACCAAACTTGAGTTAAAAATCAAAGACACAAACAATAAATAAATTGAAATAATTAAAAAAAAACTAGACAAAAAAAACACACAAAAATGAAAACAAACTTCTATAACAAATATATGTTATGCAGAAACATGATACAAACAACTTTTGCCTGGGAGTCAGCCCCGAATTCCCAACTAAACTCGAGTAAGAAATTAAAAACTTAAAAACACTCAAAAAAGGTAATATTATCATAATAATTAAAAAACAATTAAAAAATATTTTTTTAATTTGTTAAGGTTTTTGATTTTTAAATCGAGATTGGTTTGGAATTCGGGTATGACTCCCAGGCAAATGTTGTTTGTATCATTATTCTGCACAACATACGTTTTTTTCAGATGTTTTGGATTTTTTTTTTATTATTATTATTATTATTTTTTAAGTACGCGTACGTGCGATTTTGGGTTCGTACACGTACGCCGGAATACGTACGCGTACGCACTGCGTACGCGTACAGGGTGCTACCCAGATCCATATATATTGTTAAACAAAGCTGCCCGGTAGTACGCAGAGACTCTGGGTGAAGAGGACAACAAATGAGGGGCTATATATACATCTGTCTGACGATATATATGTGACGATGACAGCTCTGTGTGACGATATATATACCTCCCTCTCTGCCTATGGTTTACCGGGCAGCTCTGTTTGACTTTATATATATATAGATACCATCTTCTGGTCCATATCGTGCTCCCGTATACTATTGTAGCCTCGTGTTCCTTTGTTTCCAAAACAACCTTTTTTTTTTTTTTTTTTTGGTAGCCTTTTATTTCTTTCCCATGTGGTATTCTTTGTACCACGTGGCGCCTCCAGTGCCATCCACATGAATGACCCGTTCCTTTGGCTGCATGGATCACTGCGCCAATGGGCCATCCACGTGGCTGCATGCATGCATGTTGGTCCTGCACGAGGAGCTCTGAACGTTCAATTGGTGCCATGGATTTTGTTTCTACGGGCCTCGCTCGACTGCACAGCATTCTAAATGTATAATAATGGTCTTATAGACTCAAAACATTTGATTAGGCTGGACGTATCTGGTACTAATCGCTGTCCAGATACATGTTGAACGTTAAGTAGTGGAGTGGGCCCCTATGTTCTGGCATTGCCTTCCTTCCATTTTGTGTGTGTGTGTGTGTGTGTGTGTGCCTTTGAGTGCCAGAGTACAGTGGGAAGGCTGTTGCAAGGCTTTTGGGCCAATAGGGTAGCTTGCTTCAGCTAGAATGAAGCAAAGATCACTTCCCCCCCCCCCACTAACCCCTGCCCCCCCCCCCCCCCCCCCCCCCCCTTTCAACCCAAAAAAAAAAAAAAAAAAGCGCCCACCACCCACGCACCCAACAAAACCCCCTTCTTATTTGTGTCACCAAAACTCCCCGTGCATGGTTTTGTTGCTGGTGTTGCTGTGTGGGTAACTGTTTGGCTGCTGGGGGGGTGGTCATGTGGGGCTCTTCGTTGGTCCCTAAATTTTGGTCGTGTGAGACTGTTCGTTGGTTGCAAAATTTCCAGGTTATTGAACTTGTGGTGGTTGTTGTTGTTGTTGTGGTGGTGGTGGTTTATTGGGTCCGCTGTTTTTTTTTTCGTGATCGCTTTGTGTGAAGACTTCAGCCTGCGACAATTTCTTGGAGTGCGAGCGGTGTGCAGAGTTGTTGAATGACTTGACGACTGAAATCGTCAGGTTTCACAGCGAACTGGTACGTGACTGGAAAGGTAGGCCTTCCTCTCTCAGGAAGGCTCCCTCCCTCGCTCAGGAAGAGTAATGAGATTCAAAGAGAAAGGTGCCTCGAATCTGGACAGCTGATGATTCCTGAGAAACTTCTCTGTCTATCCGGTTTTGTATGTCTGTTTGTTTGTCCGTCGGCATGTCTGTCTCTGTCCCGCCTTCTGGTCTGTGCCTCTGTGTCTGCGCCTTTGTGCCTCTGTGTCTGCGCAAGTGTGTGTGTCTCCACCTGTGCGTTCCTGCGCGTCACTGTCCAATGCCATGTGTCTGTGTGGGCATGCATCTGCAGATGTGTCTGTGATTGCCTCTCTGCGTGCGTCTACAGCGACGCTACACGCATCTGTGTGTGCCGCTCTGCAGGCAGCCATCCATGCTCGCCATCCATGCACTCAAAGTTGCCCAAATGCAGTGACAATGGCAGCGCGTTTAATTTACGGTGATCGTCATCACTTGTATCTAGTCTCAAAGTAGCCCTAAGTACAGCTATTATGACCGTACATTTAATTTGGGGGAACACGACAGATGGTACTGTGAGCCTGTCAGCCACATGCGCTGGGTATCAATGCTGACATCTTAAGCGGCCACTACCTTTCCTGCTGTTGGGGAAACAGGAAACTAGCCTACTCCTAAAAAATTGGGGGATGGGCCCGATGAAGGCCGCCGTTGATAAATCTCATTGGCGGCCGTCGTTTCGTTTCGGCCTCCTTAAAGACTGGAGTCCCACCCGAGGCCGACATGGGAAAAGGTAGTGGTGCTTTAAGCCACCGCTACCTCGAAGCCTCTTTTTGCTGAGGTGGATTCCTTCTGCCCACAGATGTTATGATCCTGGAGGTTAGTTGTCAGAAGACCAACACTCGCTCACATAGACTTCCAGGTATGCCCATACGTACACAGAAGGAAGGGGACAGGATGGGAGTATCACACCGCACAGGGAGAGATAAACACAGCAGAAGACTTGTCCATGCGATATGACAGGAAACACTGAAAGTGCAATTCGCTCCACAGAATCCTCACAACCAGTCACAAAGGAAAGCCGAGTAGATCACATCCAGAAAACATTGAAGCAATGATAGTCTACACACAGTATTCACACTGTTTATTAAACTCAGAGTCTCGAAATGTCAGAATAACCCCAGAACCATGGTGCGCTGCTCGGAATTGAGCAGGGCTTCACTCCCCAACCCTGAGTAACCGCTATACCACCCCTGAGTCCCTGAAGCAACCAGCGCCACCCAAATACTGCCTCCAGAGGGAAGCGCCACCCTGAAACAGGCCTCGAGGCCAAGCGCCTCCCTGAAACAGGCCTCTGAGGCCAAGCGCCTCTCAGAGGATGAACTTCAAGACGAAGACCAGCGCCACAGTATCTGATGATGATGGAGTGCCAGAAGGCTTCCCGGGTGGAAGTCTATAGCAGCGCCACCTCTCCTGACAAGATGAGCTCTGAGGAAGAAAGCTGCAGCTATGGGTGCAGCGCCATAACCCTGACACCCTACTCCTGAGGAGGGTTCAGCAGGGCATCAACTTCTCTCGCCTCCAGCAGACTTCAGATAGCCCAGACCTCTGAGCAGCCCCGTGTGCTGTCAGAGAACAGTGCAGGTCCCAGCTATGGCCGACGCTTCAAGGGTCCGGCTATGCCTGTCTCCTTCAACGCTGAAGCTGTCACCACTCCAGTTCAATGACATGTGTTGCGCTGCAGTGCAGTACTCGGTACCAACTGCCAAAAGCCCTGAACCGATTCCTACAATCTATTAATAGGACTACACTACCCTAGCCTAGAACTAGACCGGATTGACTGGGCCGACCGGTACCGTTTCAGTTTCGGCCTCTAAGGCCTCTCCCTACCCGCCTATAGGCTATAGGACCGTCTATCAGCGTAGGCCTTAGGGCCTGTCTGTCGTAGGGGTAGCATGGGCCTGCTATTCGCAGTTAGGGTCGCCGTAGGAAATTCTAGTTAGTGCGGGCTTATATTTTCCCGAATTTGCAGATATGTCTTTCACGAATTTTCCTTACAGGCAGGTCTCTCGGTTAGCCCTCAGCCAAACAAAATTGTGAATCTAACCTACCTATGTTACAGCCTCGGGTCGACGGGTCACAGGCGGGAGAACCAGCAAGTCATTGCACAGAGCTTCGTCAAACTGCCACGGTGGCTTCTTTTTTTTCTTTTTTTCTTTTTTTCTTTTTTTCTTTTTTTCTTTTTTTCTTTTTTTTTCTCACCCACTAGCCACTGCACGGAAAATGAGCAGAGTGCTTGCGCCCCCCCGTCCCCCCCCCCCTGCAAAAAGAAAAAAGAAAAAAAAAGAGCAGTGTGAATGACAGAAACCAGATTGCATCATCCCGCTGGAAACCAGAAAGCCGTGTGTTTGAACAGAAAGCAACATGCAGCAAGATACACACCACGTAAAAGCAAAGCAATGAACTCCATTGGAGATGCGAGATCATCTCGCCGCCACCATCAATGCTTCCAATGTCACTCTTCTGTAGGGCGCCTGATGCCCAGACTACTATCAGACAGCACCTAAACTACCGTCTTCCCCCGAACATAGCGCACCCTGAAAATGAATGTATACAAGCTATCTTTCCGGTTCGGTACAGCCATAATCAGGTCCCGAACATTACGCACTCTGAAAATGAATGTATACAAGCCATCTTTCTGGTTCGGTACAGCCGTAATCAGGGTGCATTGTGTTCGGGGGAAGATGGCAGCCTTTGAACTAATTGCGCAACCAGGTTCTCGTCATGAGCAGCCTGATGCACATGAAGACCCCGCCCAATCCATGCGGTCCACCTCCCACACCAGTTACCTCCTCCCCGCACGCCCGTGCCTTGTCTTGCGCCCCCCCCCCCCCCCTCCCCCCCGTCGAAGGCACTTAACCTCCGCCCAAGGACCGCTGCTGTACGGCACTAGCTTTCTGTGAGAGCAGCCCGGCTTCACCTGCCACACTAGCTGCACCCAGCATCTATGCAATGTATGCATCCTGCGCCCATGTGTACCATTCCAGCCTGTGCCCGTGCTCAGCCTGCACTCCAGCACCGCTGCCGCACGAAGTGGCAAGCCACAATTTTGTCCGGCTCTGACCGCCGTGACCGGGCACTTTCCTATTCCTATATGGAAAGTTGCTGCCCGGCGAGGGTCTGGCCTGGCTTGGCTGGGGACGCTCAGTCTGAGTAGCTGGGGCCCAGGGCCCTTCCAAAATCTGCCTGGGGCTGAACTGCAAGGATCCTGGGCCTCGGCATCTTCAACTGTTGGGCCCAGGCTACTGGGTAGTTGAAGATGCCCCGCATTACAGCAACCAACCCACTGACAATACCCCAATTTCTGTACAATTCCTCCAGCATCTTCAGCTGTCGGGCCCAGGCTACTGGGTAGTTGAAGATGCCCCGCATAACAGCAACCAACCCACTGACAATACCCCAAGTTCTGTACAATCCCTCCCCCTCTGTCCTGCCCGTCATTTTTTTTTGTTTTCTTTCCCCGATCTTTTTTATTTAAAAACTACCCAGGCCTATATTCTTCTCTTGTTACATCTCCCACTACCTACCTATCTATACCTTTCCACTGGTTCCGCTGGACTACTCTGCATGGGGAGCAGTACCCAGGAGGCTGTTAACCCTCAGTGGACATAGGTCCCCCCCCGCCCACGCCCCTTCTTCCCTTCTAACAATTCCCACGGGGCCTTTCGGGAGCCGGGGACCTTAACAGCAGCGCCACCTCGGGGCCCCAACGGCCTCGAGCTTGCCTAAAATAGGCCATCATGATGATGGAAATACAGGCCCGCCTTCACCTAGGGGTGGCAAAATGGAAATACAGGCCCTTTTGCAGCATTGAGGAGGGCTTAGCTCCTCACAGCATTTTGGTACTAGTGGTTGTTTTACGCAAAAAAAAAAAAAAAAAAAAAAAACAAACACCGTCTAACCGTGGTGGTCCGGGAATTGTACGTGTTTTCCCTTCGATGTGGTTTTTGGGGGGTTTAAAAAAAAACGACAAAAAACGATAAAAAACGCAACACAATACAGGTATTCCTTATTCATTTCAGAGACCTTAATTACACTGGGCTGGCGAAGATTCTGAAGAAGCACGATAAGCGAACGGGCATGCTTCTTCGAGATCCGTATCTACAGATGGCTCTATGCCAGGTACCTTCCCTCACCTGTTTCCGTTTGTTTTTTTTTTTCCCTTCTTTTTTCCTCCCCTCATCTATTTCCTCCCTCTTCCTCCTCTTCCTCTCCCCTCCCCCCCCACCCTCCCTCTCCCCCTCCGTCCTTGCCTCATCTCTCTCTTGTTTCCCCCCCCTTCCCTCCCCTCGTCAATTTCCTTCCTCTTCCCCATCCTCTTCCCATCCCTTTCCCTCCTCCCCCCCCCTTGCCTCATCTGTTTCCTTTTTTTGTTTTGTTTCCTTCCCTCCCCTCGTCTATTTCCTTCCTCTTCCCCTT